GGGGGGGAGAAGGGGTAGGGGCCGCATTCCCGCGCTTTTGTTCTTTTCTGTACTGTCCGAGTGTCTTATTGCAGAAGTGCTTTTGTGTGAGCGACCCGACACGAACGATGGGCGACGATGGCCAGGAGCCGACCGTGCAGCAGCAGCCCGGCGACAATGCAGAAACAGCCGGCGAATATCCGGCCGCCGCTGCCGCTGGCCAGCAACAATCCATCCGCCACGACGAGGGGGAGCAGCAGCAGATGACCATGACCGCTGGACAGAACAGCGCTAACGCCGAGACCGATCAGACGGGACCGTCTCCATACGCACGGGTATCGTTACCCGAAATTTTCATCATAACTATAGGAGGATCCAAGGGGTTTGAGTTTTTCGCCCTTTGCTCCCCCCCCCCCTTCCCATATTTTCCAGCGACACAGGCACCAGTGCTACAAAAGTCCGGGTCTGAAGCTAAAACTAAAGTCTAAAGTAACTACTCTAAGCAGCAGTGTGTTACAAATCTATTCCTAATTTTTTTGCGTTTTTCTCTGAACGATGAGCCAAAAACGCTGAACAAAAATGTGTATGTGTTAAGAAATAGAGAACAACTTCAAGCCCCCTTGTCTTCTTGCAATCCCCCCGGCTGTCCGGGTATTTCAATTCTCCAAACATGCAAGCCTTGAAGCTGAAATTTTGCGAGTGTATTCCCCATCCAAGTGCCATCCCAGGATCGCGGTATCAACTCTCACACACGTCTGGTCCCCGCGTACGAGCACGCCAGAGGTATTCATTGTTTGCATTTTTAAAATTTCTGAAACGCTTTGCAATAGTTCCAGAGCGGGAAGGGGGCTCTCCCCTACCTCCCAACCCCTCCCCCCGCTCTCCTAAAAAAGTCCATCCTGGATCCGCGATTTTTATAACCGAGCCATTTATTTTTTTATGCGCAACTTTTTGCTGTTGTAATTTTTTTTTTTCTCTAAATTTCGAGGGGACGGCGCTGGAGTTGGGGTCAAGCGATAAGGAGAGGAATAATTAGAGGTGAAGGGAGAGAAAGTACATTATCTCCTTCTTATGGATCTGTCACAAACCTGCCTCCCCCCCTCCCCCCCTTTTCCTTTTCTTCCTTTTTGTGCTTCTCCCATGAATAACGAAAGGATAGCGTTGACAAGGAGGGGAATAATTAAAGGTACAGGGAGAAGAGATTATCCACTTCCAATGGATTGATCTTTTTATTTTCAAATTTGCATCGTTTCCCTCCTTTTTCTTCCTCTCCCCGCTCCCTTGACCTCACAAACAGACTCCGCCCCCTTGACCTCACATCTGCACAAACAGGAAAAAGAGATTGTCCACTTCCAATGGATCTTTTTTGTTTTCAAACTTGCATCGTTTCCCTCTTTTTTTTTCCTCTTCTCACCTCCCCCCCACCCCCTTGACCTCACACACAAACACACACACAGATGGCAATAATTTCTACACCCTGGGCAGAGGTACTGTAAAAAAAAAACACACAGCATTCCTTTGCTGAAAAGATTGCTGAGAGGAAAAATGCCTGGATCGACAGGTGCAGCAGCAGCTGTGAGGGTGGGGAGAGGAGAATGACCTCAACAAGATTGCTTAGCAGCCGAAATTAGGTCACACAGCACAGCAGCATATCTCTACAGGGACGGATCTCGCTACCTCACCAAATATCTACAGGGACGGATCTCGCTACCTCACCAAATCTCTACACGGATCTCGCCATCTCACCAAATATCTACAGGGACGGATCTCGCTACCTCATCAAATATCTACAGGGACGGATCTCGCTACCTCATCGGCATGCATATCGACTCATCGATTTGGCCAAGAAAAATTGTTTTCGAGCACACCTTTCATTTTTGTTTACGAGGAAGCACATATTTATGAGGACACATATCTCTGCGCATTTCTGCACACAAAAAAAGAAGTTGTTTACCAGGACCGCACCTTTTTTTCTCACACCCCTTACATAAGAGGGAGAAGTTCTTTTTTTAGGGGGAGCGGAGATATCTGTTTTTTTTCTCTCACCCCTAATGCTCAATAGGGATTTTTACGGGGAAATTCATACCTCTGCTCGTCACTATAAACCAAAAAATTACGGTAGAAATTTGTTTACCAGGAACCGTATAACGGGGACATCTCTCTACATCTCTGCGCATTTTTGCACACAAAAAAAAGTTGTTTACGGAGGACCCCACCTGCATAATGAGTTATATTTTGGGGGGAGGGGGACACCCCTTTTTTTCTCTTACCTCAATGCTTAATGGGGATTTTTACGGGGACATCTCTAAATCTCTGTTTAATATCTCACACCCAAAAAATTATGGTAGAAATTTGTTTACCAGGAACCGCATGTTTATGAGGACATCACTCCACATCTCTGCGAATTGCTACGCACAAAAAAAAAGTTGTTTTCGAGGATCACACCTTTTTTTTTAATGCTCGTTGCGTAAGAGGGAGAAGTTTTTTTTAGGGAGAATATCCGTTTTTTATTTTTCTCACCTCGTTGCGTAATAGGGAGAAGTCTCCTTTTTTTATCGCATTGCATAACAGGCGGGGTTATGTTGGGGGGGAGGGGGGGAGGGGGAGGGAGAGGGAAGGGGAACCCCTGTTCCGATATTCTTCGCCTCCCCGTTTCCCAAAGGATCGGATTTTTTGACTTATCTGTGTTGGGGCAACAGAGATGAAATTTAAGCATTTGAAAAGGTATATCTGAAGACCCAAGTTTTCTTAGAATTTGACTCATTTGACTCAATTTGACTTTAGTTTTTTTTTTAGCAAATGAGGGATGATTGGGTGTTTGAAAAATTTTTGTAAAAAGATAGATTAAATAATAAGTTAGAAGGGAAATAATTGAGAAATCAATTTAAAAAAAAAAGGTTATTTCATGGAAAAGGAAATGAATAAGGAACTGGAGGACGATGAGTTTATTAACAAATCAGGGATAGTAGATTTCCTGAAAAATTTTTATAAAAGGATAGATTAAATAATAAGTCAGAAGGGAAATAATTGAAAAATCAATTTTAAAAAAAAGGGTTATTTCATGGAAAGGGAAATGAAAAAGGAACTGGAGGACGATGAGTTTATTAGCAAATCAGGAATAGTAGATTGAAAAATTTTTATAAAAAGAAAGGCTAATTAAAGAATAAGATTTTGTAAAAAGATAGATTACAATTAAATAATAAGTTGGTGGGGAAGTAATTAATTGAGAAATTTGTGAAAAAACAGATTTTCTACAAGAAAAAATGAGACTGAAAAAGTATTTTCCATCGTGTGAGGCAAG